AAAAAATGCGTGGCATGGATGATAGAATTGACCAAACTGCAGATCGCTTTATAATTAATGTTACAGACAGTTCATCTGAATACACATCAAGTGAAGATACGAGTGATGATTGTACAGAATAAAAATAAAGTTCTATAGTAAAATTTTCTTCTATAGCTATCTTTTACATAACTTTTTAATAATAGTTAATAAATATAAAATTCGAATTACATCAATCATTATAAAAAATAATAAAAAAATCACAAATAAAGAAAGTACTACATATAAAATGTTTTGTTTGTAACCCTTGGTTAAGCGACCAAAAGGTCATTTTCCGTTTTTCTCAATCGATTTGGCACATACTATAGTATTAATGTTTCAAAGATAATTTAATTTTTTATGAAAAAAGTTGATTGAATTGTTGATTGTCCTATCCCGTATCACTATGAAGAGAAGAGGAGTGCAGCAGCAGGAGACAATACGACGCAGCAACAAGTGAGTGACGAACACCTTACACTGCTTTGCTACTTGCTGGAAAGGGAGCAAATGCTCACCAGATATACGGTTTGTGTTAGTATTTTAGCTTAAGAAGTTATTAGGCTTAATTTTAAGTAACTTAGTATGGAAAAATATTTAATTGGCCTTGAACAATTTTCCTGTAATTTATCAATGAAACTTAGATTTATGCAATGAACGGCCTTGAATAAGACGTGAAAATTAGGTTCACTGCAATATATAAAAGAAATGGCCGGCCAGCAACCTAAAGTCACGTTGTGAGAAGGACGCACAAGTAAAACAAAAAAATCTTCGTCTTCATAATAAATTACTATATTAGAAAATATTTACAGAAAAAATAAAAACAAAATATATTCTCTCTTTTCTGAATTCTCATGACATCTGTCTTTCTTATTCTTTTACAACTATTTAAAAACTAAAATAGAACAAAACATATAAAAACTCCACGACCATACTTCGCCCCCTGGAAGCTTCAGCTTTCAGTCTTCGTACTGGGGATCCAGTAGAGGACACAGGTATTTAATACCACGTTTGAGGGCTCCGGTGGATGTCAGATCCTATCCTCCTCTTTTATTTTTATTTTTAGAAGTGACTTTTTGAAAGATCAACTTCTAATCTTTACATTCTAAATCCTTGCATTTTGATGAGGATGGAGATGCATTCTTATTTAAATGTATTAATTAACGATTATAAACGACGGAGTTTTCTTTTATTTAGCAAAATCTACTCATTTCTTGAAGTTGAGTTCATTTCTCGTATGTTTCATCTTAAATAAATATTGTTTTAAACGTTTTAAATAAAATGTTGCTTATTTTAATTGAGCGTCTTATTTATTTTCCGTTTATCAAACTAAATCGAATTGGACCAGAATCGCGAACAATGTAAATGGACCTTAATAATTTCTTGGTTACCAATCATAATCAATTTTGTTACTGTCCATAAAATAACGAAGGTTTTTAATTGATAAAAATTTGAGTTTCGGACTTTAATAAATTATAATAAATATCAAAATAATATGTGCTATACAACATTTTTGAGAAGTGCTCAATTACACGCAACATCTTTCAATAGATATGTCCCTTTTTGCCTTATTGGAAAATTAAATTAGAAAAAGCGAGACAAGTATACCAACTCAATTTATGTAGAATTGTAGGATCTCTCTATGCATACGTTTGTATGTAATTACTCTAAGATTCAATGCGAACACAAATAACAACAAGTCTTAAAATCTGTTAAAAATTTTACACAGTTTTTGTGAACGATTTGTTACAAAACATTACGTGTTGGATGTTTTTCTGTGCAAACCTAGGGTTATAGTAGGTTTATGAAATTCAAAGTCCATTACTACGCAAAATACCACTACATATCATTTCCATTTTTTTTAATAATAATTTATTTGACTCTCAATTGACGGGTTACACTTATGTATTATATCTATTTTAAATTACAAAATTACATTTCAAAGTAGTTGGCGTTAACGGCCATACTAGTTTAAACTGTGTTACAGCCGTCAGCGTGTTCCACTCTGAGTAGTACAATACAAATACAGTAAAAAATGACAGATTATTTCGCTTAATAATACACAACAATGTTAAGTTAAATAAAAAAAATGAAGAGAAAACTTTCTAATTACCACAAACCTGTGTGTGTGTGCTGTGTGTGTGTGTGTGTGTGTGTGTGTGTGTGTGTGTGTGTGTGTGTGTGTGTGTGTGTGTGCGTGCGCGTGCGTGCGTGCGGGTGTGTGTGTGTGTGTGTGTGTGTGTGTGTGTGTGTGTGTGTGTGTGTGTGTGTGTTAGAACTTAAATACTGATTAACCCCTCTTAGAATTTTATCTTTACATTTATTAGTGGACAAAGGGTAAATATTGTTTACTTTATTTGCTACATTATATAAATAATTGCTAGTGACATAATATTGACGACGTGCTAAAGCAGTTCTATGAGAAACCATGTAATATTATATATCATACTTTTGATTTGTTATAAAAAGTAGAACTTATTATACTTACTTATAATTAACAGGGTTACGCGTTTAATTTCCTTACTTAGCTTTCTTTGATTACCTTTACCTTACTTAATTTGTCACGTCTATGACCTTTTTTTCTTTTATCTGTAAAAACTGAAGCCGGGAGAACTGACATTCAAACTCTTTTTTGGCATTTTTAGTCTATGAATTAGTTGTATGGTGGTCGATTTATCAATATTTCCCATATTTTCGTAACATAATTTTAGCGGGAAGTTGAGGATTGAGATATATTATCAACAATGAGCGTTGAAGAAGATGTTATGAAAATTCAAAAGAAATTGACAAAAATGACATCGGACGATGGCACGGTATGTTTAGCACTAAATATATTGAAATTTTAAGAACTTTGACCAATTTATTGGTTGTTGTATGAAATCCATAATAGGTGTTAACTCCTCGGACTATTTTTAAACAAGCACCACCTATTTATATTACAACGTATTTGCAATATAATACCCATACAATATTGATAATGAAAACATCTAATTTCATTTTAGGGTCAGGAAGAAGCCCTTGAATTATTGAAAACGCTGCAAACAATGGCTATTAATCTGGATGTCCTTACAAAAACTAGGATAGGCATGACAGTCAACGCCTTACGAAAGTCCAGCAAGGATGAAGAAGTGATTTCACTGTGTAAAACATTGATTAAAAATTGGAAAAAATTTCTTTCCACTCCTACTACTCCTTCAAAAGATTCTGGCAGCTCATCTAAACCAAAAAAAGACTCTGGCAAAGATAAGGAGAAAAAAGAGGAGAAAGAAAAAGACAGAAAGTTGCCTGCGTCATTCCCCCCTCAGTCAAATACCACTGATGCCGTAAGATTAAAATGTCGCGAACTATTAACACAGGCTTTAAAAACAGATGGTGAGAATCCTAATTCTTGTGGATCTCCGGAGGAACTGGCAGAGGAACTGGAAGAATGCATTTATGCCGAATTTAAGAACACTGATATGAGATACAAAAACAGAGTAAGATCAAGAGTTGCTAATTTGAAAGATCCTAAAAACCCTACATTACGTACCAATTTCTTAAATGGTGTTATATCAGCATCAAGACTCGCAAAAATGACCCCTGAAGAAATGGCCAGTGATGAAATGAAGAAGTTGAGAGAGAAGTTTATCAAGGAGGCTATAGATGATGCTCAATTGGCAACTGTACAGGGTACCAAAACTGATATGCTCAAGTGTGGTAAATGCAAAAAGAAGAATTGCACATACAATCAGCTACAAACCAGAAGTTCTGATGAACCTATGACTACCTTTGTGCTTTGTAATGAGTGTGGCAACCGTTGGAAGTTCTGTTAAGACTGCTTGGATTTCTTAGATGAATAGTGTTCTTAAATTTTAAACAGTATCGGTAACATACTGTGTAATGTACCACGTAAATATAAACTACTATGAATTATGATATTTTGTTTCACACTTTTGACTGCTATTATTTACTGACTGGAATCATGTTAAGTAGTTTAGGAAGTCTTAACTGATTTTAATAAATTAATCCGCTTTAAATGGTAACTGATTTTATTCATTAATTTTTTTTATTAAAGGGATAATATGCAATAAAACTTTCAAGTATAGATATTTATGTATTTATCAATAATGTTGCTTACAACAGGAATGAGTCCTTAGGACTAAGAATAAACATACATGTTTTATTAACTGACACATTTTTACCAATTTTCATGACTATATCAAAATATACAGCCTTATTACAAAACATGTTTTTTTTTTTTGTAAACTGGTTTGGGCTATGGCTTAAGAAAATTTTAAAAGAATTATCAGTAGTTTAACCAGCAACTTAATAAACCACATTTTGTAATAAGGTTAACAGTGTTTTTGTAGTCATTTATAATTTATCTCTATTACTTAGATATAACATGTTTTATCAAGTTATTTTTGAGTCATCTTTTACAACCATTTTGGTTGTATTATTGTCTGCATTTTAGTGTGTTGCATAAAAAACTCCATAATAAGACCAAATATTTCATTAATGTTTAACAAAATAAGGGACATTCATGAGAGTGCATTTTAAAAAAACATCCAAATTTTGAATTATTATACTATACTTATATATAATATTATACAAATTTGCATTTCTAATCCTTTATAAAGGTAAAATCGGTAATGCCAATGGCCGTGGTGTGTCTAAGTTTTAAATAATTATACATACATAGCAACAATATTATAAATCTTGGAATATAACTTCGCTATTCTAATATGCAGTGAAAATTTGGAGGTACATTAGTAAGTATCAACATCTTTGTAGTTTTAAATGGTAATAAGTAATAATACAGATAAATATTGAATTTCATATCCTGAATTGCTATTAATCTAGTATGGCAAGCTACACTTTGGTGAATATCAACAAGTTATTTTTGGCTCTCTTAAAGATATACTTTGTCATATTATAATTTAACTTAGTTTTATTCTAATTTTTTATCTAAATGCTGCACTTACATTAATAAAAAGTAAAACTAACTATTCTACCAATAATTCTCCTGTTTTTATTTTAACAAAAATTTTTTCATCATTGCACAAATCTGTTTTATTTTGCATATCTAATTTGAGATCAATTGTATTATTTTCATCATCCAATTTTGTAATAGTAAATTTAACATCTTCATTGGCCACATAACACTCAGGTGTAAGAGATTTCTGATAATTAAAATGTGTTTTCAAATGTTCTCGAAGGAAGTGTGCCTGAACCACAGACAAGTCACAGAAGGAACATTTATGGTTTCCATTGTTAAAAATATCATTTTTATCATGTCTCCTGTAATGGTTTCCCAATGCATCTTGGCGCTGATTTGTATATGGACACAAGAAACATGGATGTAATTTTCGGTCTTTTGTAGGTGTATTATCGGTTTGGTTTGCATCATTTGCAGAATTATTTAAAGAACTCCTGCGTTGTAATAGTCTCAAAGTTTGTTGATCACTGATTGAAAATTGTTGAAAGTCACTTTTTGGTATTCCCCTCGGCATAGTTTTAATAGCTAGTTTAATATTATCAGTATTTTCATCTTCTTTGTTTCCAGATGTTTCTGTATCTGGAACGCCATTGGTTTCTTTCCGTCTTTCAGCTTGAGCTTCATCATTCTTTTGATGTTTTCTCATATGTTGAACATAATTTGCATAATATTTGACAGAATAATCACAAAGTTCACACTTATATCTTTGTTTAGAACCATGTAGTGATAAGTGAATTTTATATTGCTCTCGTTTTTCAAAGGCTGATGGACATTTGTGGCATTTATAACGTTTTTCTTTTTGACGTCCATTTTTAAGATATGTTGGGTATATAAACTCTGGGTTACCATGCATCAAATATCCGAACTGAGGATCCGCTTGAAGTACAGGTGGAAAGTGATCGTTAGGTTTCACTAATTTATCTTTGTCATTCAAGACTCTTTTTTGTGCTTCAGTCTTTCTTTGAAATAGGTCAGTTCCCGATAAGGGAATTTTGTAATCCATGTCCTCTCCGGATTCATAGTCACAAGTTGTTTTACCTTCTTTTTCGTGCAGTATTTCATGTTTGGCCAAATTTCCAATATTTTTAACAGCATAACTGCATTTTTTACATTTGTGTTCACCATCACCACCATGTAGTCCCATATGATAATTCAGGGCTGAGGTCTTAAAGAATTTTGCTGGACACTCTTTGCATAGATATTGCTTTGGAACGTGTTTTCCTTCATTAAATTTTCTATGTGGAGTATTTATGACTTCATAATTGGTGCCGGGATTGGTTACAACCCAGGTTATTTCAGAAGTAGCTGGGCAATGAACAACTTCTAAACGAGGTTCAGTGTGTGCTGGATGCGTGTTGTGAATGAATTTAAGCATTTTAGTTTTAGTATGATATTCATCTGAGTGAACAAATGAGTGAGCAGCTAATTCGCTTTCATGTAGAACAGAAAATTCACAACTTTTACATTTGTGTGTAAATGCGAGATCATGAAATTTGTCGTGAACTTTTAATTCACTCTCTGTAAAGTAACGTGTTGGACATTTCTGACAAAAATATAACGTTTTAATTTCTTTATTTTCAGTCCCTATACTGTCATCTTTTGAAAATTCCAGAGCCACGCTTAATTTCTCTCTTTCTATTACTTTTCGTAATTTTGCTATCTGTTCATCATCTGGAATATCATCTTCAACAGGACAATAAATACGTCCATAGATTTCACCATGTGTTTTAGAATGATCAGCTAATCTTCCAGCATTGTCGCATGTAAATTTACAATCTAAACATTTATACACTAATATTTCGTTGTTTCCAAATACAATGCAGTGAATTTTCTCGTGATTGGGTATTTTACATTTTTGAGTATTAACGTATGAACAATAACGGCATTTGTACATTTTATGAAATTCATTCTTTGCTGAAACCCATACATAAGGAATTTCTTCAAGGTTGAAATCTATTTTATTTTCTGTCTTGTAAGAATTCGTTGCGGCAACTTCAAAGTCTGATTCCATTTCATTTTTTTTCGGCATTATACCGTGAACTCTCATATGTTGATGAAGTAGATGTCTTTTTGAAACGCTGTAGTTACACTCTGGACATTTGTAAGGAGTGTCTGCAGGGAGACGATGAAATTGCTCGTGGTACATGAATTGAGATTTACTGTTTGTTTCGTAAGGACATTCTATGCACTTGTGTCGTTTTGAAGCGTTTGATAGTGATCCCTGCTGGTCAGGTAATGGCGACTTGCAACCCATTGCTTTTGCTATATACTCTTCGGGGTCAGTTATACCATGTAGAACGAGATGTTGAACTAATTCCTGTTCATCTTTAACGAAGAAAGGACAGAAATAGCATTTGAATATTGATTGCGGCGAGGGTTGGTGTTGCTGCATGTGTATGATTAACATCGTCCTGTCGTTAGTTTTAAATGGACACTTCGTACAAGAATCAGCAGTGGTTTCGTTTGTTGAACTTGAACCCTCTACTTTTGGTTTAACTGTAGTAATGACTTTTATTACTCCTTCGTGTTTCAGTCTGCAATGTCTCTGAAATAAGATAAAATATAATGAGCTAAGTACAAATAACATTTGTGAAAATTATTATATATTATTATAGATATTTTATTAAACAATTGGTAAAATTATAAATTTTGTGCAACCGACTTCAATATAATTAAAATGAGAACAAAAGTCAATGAAATATGCATTATTAAGGATTACTCAAAAACTACTAGTTAGACTTTGGTTAAATTTATATGGGACCACACGAAAAGTATCAGCTTTCAGATAAAAAAAGAATCATCAAAATCGGTTCACCCAGAGAAAAGTTCTTTGGTAACTAAATTGAATACCTCCTGCTTTTTGAAGTCAGTAAAGAAATAGCTTGAAATTTAGAATCGTTTGACAGGAATTTGGGGGAGTAAGGTGTTTTATTTGGTAGAGGTTTGGTCCCCAATTATAACAATACCACTCACATTAAAAGGTAATACACCGTTCTTGAGAAAAATCGAAAAGAAAATCCTATAGAACTAACCTAAAAATGATCTCAAAATGAATTAAGAGGGTGGGAGGTGGTGGAGAGGGAGACGGGGGATTTGTAGAGTCGCCCCCACTTCCATATCCTGCCGGACATGCTTTTTTTTTATAAATTTTTAAAAATCTAATTTTGACTTTATGTTTTTGTTATCTTTTTGACTATAAACCTGATTTATAGGGGGAGAAAGTTGGGGGAGGGAAGCACCACGTAGCGCAGTCAAGTGAAGCCCGGTCGACGGAGCCCCGCTTCGCGCGGCTCCTAATTCTGAGTGATTTACAAAAAAATAACCACGAAGGGAATGGCGGGGTCTATTCGCTTGCTTTGCTCGCTCACTTGACCCCGCCGTCGCCTTCCAACCTATCCGACTCGGGGTGTCCTAAGTCCTGAGCTCGCTTCGCTCGCTCTTGCGCTCAACAAAACACCAAAATATTAGCTTTTATAATTACTTTAAATTATAAACATAATATATAATACAATAATAAGCACACTACGGCTCGCACAGGTGCCTGCGATTTGCTACGACTGGCGGGGGCTGCTCTCCCTCCGTGCCTACAGCTTTACAAAAACACTAGGAGTAGGGCAGACAGGACTACGTGGATTCGGGGCATGCTGATTTAATTTTAGTACAGATTCGATCAGATCAGATATCTTTAAAGTCAGGTTGCCTTTGCTTTCGCCACAGCCACATAATTCTGTATGCTATCCAGCTTTCACAGTAATATCGTGTAATTTTTTTGTCAGAAGGGCTAGAACCCAGAGCTGTAGTCCGTTAATAATAAAAAATGTATCATTTTCCATACTTTACGCATTTTAGGTTATAATAGTTTTTATTTATTTTTTCGATAACGGTGCATTACCTTTTAATGTGAGTGGTATTATTATAATCGGGGACCAAACCTCTACCAAATAAAACACCTTACTCCTCCAAATTCCTGCCAAACGATTCTAAATCCAACCCAATAGTAATGTATATTCAAATCAGAATATTTTGTAATACGGATCTTATTCTTGAGCAAACCAATTAGTACCTTTGAATAAAACAAAAGCTAAGTGCTTTTATGTATTCACTACAACCAAAAATCATGCTCATGTGTTACATCTTCTTCTGCTGACTTCTTTAGTGAGTATAAAGGAATAAGTACCTGTATAACATGCTTCCAATTTGACAGTTGGTTGCAGTGACCACAACGGTAAGCTAAGTCGGCAGGATCTGGTGTATTTTCAGTTTTCTTGTTCATAGAACTTTGAGATTTTGTGTCGTCCAAACCAGATTCTGGTTTTGAATGTTCTCTGACATGTTCTAATAAAGCTTCTTTTGACGAGTCTCTGAAAATGGAAAAATTTCCTGTTATATCATTTGTGTAATTTTTTTGAATAATAACGATATATGCGAAAGGAAAGGTAAGGTTTTAAGTTAAAACCTTACCTTTACTTTCGCATATAGTAAAACTTTTAACCGAATTTGCTAGACGTTTTTTAATTTATAAACTTGACAACTATTCCCTTAGCATGCATTTTCTATTGCAGGATTGAAGGCAAAGAACACTATTACTATCTACTGTACGTATCGAATTCGTATCGCCATCAAATTACTTTAAGTATACGATATCATATAGCTTCATTTACGTCCGCCAGGGGCGCCGTTCATATTTCCATATTAATATAATAATAATTTTAGTCCATGACGATGCGAAAACATTAGTGTCAAAAACTTACAGATTCCTTTACTTATGTGCTAAGGGCACTATGCAATGTGGAATATTTGATTACAGTATGTTATGGAATTAGGTAATGTAAGTAGTAATAAGTAAACAAACAATATTTCGATAGTAAATTATTTTTATATGTCTGGTACTCAAAACTATTATTAAAACACATTCTCAATTGATAAAAAATAGTTTTTATGATGCTTCTAATAGTCATTACGGGTATAGTAAACATTAATTTATATGAGTATGTCTAAAAAGGACTTGATGTACTAACCTGTAATTGCATTTTTTACATTTCCATAATGTCTTTTTTGGTCTTTTTAAGTCTTGATTTCTGTTGTCAATATTATATTTATGTTCACTATGTTGTGCGTGCAAATTAAGGGGCTGCATCTCCATTGATGGGATTGAGCCTTCATTAATGTCATTGTATGAATCATCTATTTCCAGAGAAGCATCAAGTGTTGTATTCTGGTCTATATAATGAAATTCATTTTCACCATTTTCGTTCAACACTGGCATTGCTAAGAATTTATTGTATTTGCTATAATTCCGTCTACCAGTTTCATCTGTCATGAGTACTTTTGCTTCAGCGTGATCAGGATCTCTCGCAGACTTCAGTTTTATGTGCTTCGTTATGTCCCATCTCCAATTAGATTTATATTTACATAAAGAACATTCAAATGGTTTCTTATTTAAATGCCCAACAATGTGTACGTGAAATCTGGATGCCGTCGCTGCCCAAAACAAACAGTGTGGGCATTTGAAAACTTTCTTTCCAACAGCTTGACTTGGTGATAAATTCATACCTTCATTTTCGTCTACGATTTCTGAGTCGTAACTTTGAGGAGGTTCTGGAAGCGTAGAGTCATCATTGATACTTATGTCGAGCGGCGTGTCGAATTTACTTGCTTCTCTATTGATATTATTCCAAACGAAAACTACGTTCTCCATAGGATGCGGCTCGCTATCTTTCTCCGGATTCGGGTGCACAGCTTCATTGCTATCTTGGTTTTGCGTTTCCACTGGAATTTGTTTTGGTCCATTTTCATTTTTCTTGCAAGTTTTCATATGTATGTACAGATCTGCGCTCGATTTACATCTATGCCTGCAATTTTGACATCTTGTTGAACCTAAACTTGACATCGCTGTATTTGTTGGAATTCGACTTAATTGTGTGGTGCAAGTTTTTTCATGTACCGAATGCTCAGATAAGCATTTGCTTTCGAATCCGCAATTTTTGCATATTAAAGATCCTTTTTCACCTGTTTCTGTCAACAACCTCTCTTTTAATTTATCAAAAAATGATTCGTTTTTCTTGCGTACGGATGTGTCTTTTGCATTATTGGGAACATTGTTAATCATTGATGTGGATATGACATCTGTTGGTAAATTATCTAATTTATTTGAATTACTTGATTCTGGAGAATCACTGGAAAATGATTCTTTAAATTTTTTCGAAGGCGGTTCACCCGACGAATTTTTGTTTTGGTTTGGAGTCGATGAATTTAAAGGTATGAGCTGTGGTATTGGTCTGGGTATCTTTCTGCATTGTGATTGTGACTTTAATTCTTCCGATACTGCATTAATAGATTGAAAATTCTGTGCGTTCCTGGGAGATGCTTCAGAAGCAATGGCGTCATTAGAATCACTGTTACAACTAACAATATCTCTTTCCGCATATTGTAAACCCATTTCCTGTAAAAAAGATTTTTTTATTATTAAATCCGCTGTCACGAAAAACTATTCACTACCAATCTAACTAAACATAGTCCTTCATAATTATGGAACATTTTGAAAAAAAAAACTGAAGTTACTATTTTATTAATCATCTTTAGAAATATTTTAAATCACCATTATCATCATAAACAGCATTATCAGAAACACAATTGACCTTTCGAACAGCTGCATGTTTTGAAATATCCACCACGCTGTGCAGGCTGGTGATTATTGTATAAATATTTAGTCAACTAAGACCAACAAAGAAAGAAATACGGAGCGCTGCATACATTTGAATTGACGCAAAAACCGAGGCAAATACATGCTCAACTTATTGTATAAACACGCCCTGACCTACACATACACAACTAAAATAATATATAACCAACAACATGGTATTAGATGCATATGTGTGCGTCCAGCAGTTAACTTTTACGGGCTGATAAAGAAAGAAAGAAGAAGGATGTGTGCGTGAGTGTGTGTCAAGAAGTTGAGCATAGTTTCAACATAATTTGATATGTACGCAACGCTTCGTTTATCTTTCTTTGTTTGTCTGAGTTAGTATAATAAAAGAAAATATTTTTCACAAAAATTATATAATATTTTATTACCCTCACTTTTATCTTTTAAATTTTGTATCAGATGAAAGAAGCTAAGTTTAGTAAGCGTCAATAATGCCTCTCACCAATCTCCGCTATGACAAGCAGATTCTCACTACTTTGGTAATGATCTATCTACATCTATTATAGCGTTGTGAAAGGACTTATGAGAAAGGAAGACATGTATGGATTAATGATCAGAGTTTGTACTCAGTCGCGAGCTCTGAATGAGAATACCAGTTAGGACCAGCATGTAGTAAACATTTGCCAAGCGATTGATTGTCTTTATAACATTGCATCTTAGCTTATCTCCGATCTCATGGCTAAGTATTACATCAAACACGGTTAGGTCACGAGTGCACGTTCAGCGTTACATTTATGACACTATAATTAATCCTACCCCCGAAATACCTTCAAATAGTAATAGTAGTTTAAAGTCGTCGTCGTTTTAAATTATTTAAATATTCCTTACTTACAAATAAACTTTAGTTTACGTTAATATTAAGAAAATACTAGTAATAAGAGAAACACTGATTTTCTTCTGTATCCTTTGGGCGCTTTATGTATATAAACTGGACAAATAATAAGAACCGGAATATTTTGAAGGTCATACTAGTACACAGTTAAAGAGCTGTCTTTAAACTGTGCTTGTACCGTACGGGATTCAAACCAGCGACCTTGTGGCCAAATGTTAAGTCACTGCGCTACCGACCTGTCAATACGTGCACTGATTGCATGTCGTTGCATTTTTTAGCCGACTTTAAAAAAGAAGTTAGTTCTGAATTCGCCTGTATGTATGTTATGTTATACGATACCTTCGTAAGTTGTGAGATGATTTTTTTTAAATACATCAACATAAATTTTCAGGAAAAACTAAATCCACCCCTTGCTTAAGTCGGAAAAGTGGGGGATGAACTTTTTAATATAACCAGATGACATTCTGGTTGTTACCTTGAGTTTGTCATAGTCTTTAATCCACTCAAAAAGGTCCAAAAAATTAAAGTGCTTTTAATAAAAAGTAAGAGCCGACTTCAAAGAGCTAAAAAGAATAAAAGAATTTCCACATAATAGCTTCTGAAGCGGGGCCTTTAATTCAGCAATACACTATGCCTTAACACCGACTTCAGAAGCTACTTATTATGAAAAAAAGTAATTAATTATATTTTTAGTTCTTTGAAATTAGCTTATTACTTTTATTGTTACTTAATTTTTATTATTAAAAAATTAAATTGCCTATTCTTGGATAGTTAGGTTTTTAGTATAATTTTCGTAAAAAAAAAACGTTATCCCCTAATACTTTTTTGTCTACTTCATTGAGATGTTTTATACACATAAAATGCACATGGATAAATAGTAAATACCAAGTACCGGAACAACTATTTATAGAAAATAAAAATACTGTGGGGTCGCGAGTTCGATTCTTGTGACCCGCAGCGTCGTAATTAAACGTCCTGAACGCATGTGGTAAGAATTTGCTTTCGGAAGAACCTGATATTTATACACGTAATGGCAATATATCACAAGTTCCCATAAAGTTTTCGCTTAACCCATAAAAATACTCTTAATATATTGTAATTAATACAACCCATGCATTAAATTATTCTAATTATTATAAATATAATACAGATCTTGCGTACTCACGAGAAAACAGAATGTATAATAACAATTACAGATTAATTAATATCGTAAACAAAGCGCCAGTAGCGCAGTGACTGATAGTGACGATTGCTAATACGCGTATTTCAATTCGAATATGAAATATTACTTAACAATTAAAAAGATAAATAATTAAGATTTTAGAAGAGTGTTTTGATTTCAAAACACATGCATAGGAATATAAGTGTCATTGGTACAATACTTCCAAATACGATATGCATGTAATGGGAAGGTGCACGTTAAGAGATTCAAGAGATTCTTAAAGGGAATTTATAGAACTGAGCCATGCTTGACAGCAACTGCGGTGACGTGACGTCACCGGGTGCGGCTCTGCCATGCGGCAACACTCACCGAGGCAGAGTGCGAGGACCGCGAGTCGCCACTCCCTTCTTCCTCCTTGGGGACTAGCGCCGTCCCATTCATCATTTCCTCGGCTAGGCTCAAGTCGCTGGCACCCACTCGGTTGCGACGCCGGCTCGATGTCGACTGCCCTTCCGTCGGCGTGTGGTGATTCATTTCGTGCACAGTCAAACTTTGCCTAATGTCGGCCGTAAAATTACACATTGAACAACTGAAACTTCCTGTTCCGCCATGGTTTTTCATATGACGGTCCAAGTTCCACTTGTATGGCGTCCGAAAATCACACATGATACACTTTATCATTGGCATTGAATGGTATTTGACGTGCTTCGTATATCTAGCCTTTATGTGCGTCACGTAATTGCATTTATCACATGAAAAAAAGTTGCCCTTATTTTTACTGTTGTTGGAGTTTAACAATGATGCATCGCTATCGAAGTCTAATCGTTCAATTAAATCTTCACTGCATTCTTCCACCTCCATTTGCATATCTTCACTTTCCTCAACTTCTTCTAGTAAATCTTCCTCCTTCTCAGCCGGTTCCGAGACGCTCATAGTCAAGGTTGGCTGCTCTGTCTCCTTTGAAGTAATAGTTTCGCCATGGACCATTTTTATGTGCCTAACGAGTTTCTGATGATGCCGAGAAGCATAAACACAATAGGCGCAGTCGTAAATCTTTAGCTTCACGAAATGAACGTCACGCGTGTGGATAAGATAAGCTCGTGGGTTTTGCGTGTAAAATGTACACTTTGTGCAGCTGTAATTCCGTCTTATTTTGCACTGTGGCAATTCCAAGTCTTCAGTGGCGTCTGAGGAGGCCTCAGAAGACGCGTCGCCGCACACGCGGCCTTCGAGAGGGCGCAAGATAGTTGCGACCTCGCCGACGTGCGCGCTCGACGGCGAGGACATCTGTTGTAGCATACTCCGCTGCAACAAAACAATGTTCGATGTTGGTTAAATGTTCCGAGACGAGAGTTGACGGTGAGGGGTGCGCGGGGCGGTCGCGATCGTGTGGCGCTGCGGGCGTGTGCAGTACGCGAGAACGACGACGGTTGAATGAAGCGGCCGTCGGCAAGCGTTGTAGGGCGGCCGCGGCGCGTGGGTGCGGGACGGGAGCGGAGGGTTCGATGTCATGTGCTCCTATGTTTTTCATCCTCATCGACGCGGTTAGGGGAGCTGACAGCCGACGCGGTCGCGGCAGGCGACCTCAACTCGGCTACAACCAAATGAGAGCACTCCCAGTTGCTGCTCGAATATTATTTGTTGCATAACCATGCCCAGCTAACACTAGGTTTAGTTGAATGCTTGTCGTTATGTAATTTTTTTTCCATAATGTTTCGGAGATGCAAGAGTAAAAACAAAAAGTACTTGAAAGTACATTTTTTTAATTTTATCCTACACAAGCCCACAAACACTATAAATGTTAAAATATAACCAATTTTTATTTAAGTATGCGTTGATGTCTTTTGTCATAGCTATTAAACTTGAATTAATACGATGTGATGACAGCGCTATTAATTACATCAAGATTGTTATCAATTACATATTTTTCATGAAAAAGTACAAACAGTTAGTAGTATTGACAACACTGTTTTTGGAATGAGGTACATTTTCACACATTAATAAATAATAGCTCTACCAAAGTAATAATAGTAATAATAATAAGTAAGTAATAATAGCTCTACTAAACAGTTTTGCTTCGGGACTTAGCGTGTTTCGTCCAATGATCTGTTTTTAGTTTTTACCGAGTGATGGTAAAAAATCAATTTCGGCATGTTGGATTACTTCTTGAATCTGTGTTTTTATATTCGTTACTACATATCGAATTTACAGATTAATGAAAGTTAATAAAATCCACATCAGCGGCTCTACCTTATAGATCTTAGTAGCATTGGAAAAATAAGGATGAATTTATACAGCATAGGTACTAATAGCAAGTAATTGCGCTAGCTATCATGCCCTTCGAATTGAAATAAAGTAAATCAAGTTCCAATGTATGACAGTTGAATCAGTGAGATGGAATAATTTATACAGATGATTTGAGACAGCACACAAAAGATCTCATTATACGATATTATATGTTTATAGAATAAGGGCGATAAGCAAAAACTTAGTCCGAATGACGGTAAGTGGATGTTGTGGCCCATAGGCATCTACATTTATCCTCGATTAGTAATAAACTGCAGATGCGTTGTCACCCCCGAGGACTAAGATATAATGCATTCCAGTAAAAATAATTTTCGGTTTTCCACACACACAATACGAAACACAAGAGTATTAAACTATTTTATGTTGATATTATGTGAGAGCCTGGTCCTTCCTCAGTTGAGCATACTTATTTCGTGCCACAACCATAATATGCAGCATGGATCTACCGCGAACATAACATACGTGTAATAATATACTTAAATTACTTAATGTGATTGTCTCAAACGCAAAGGAACAAATATGCACGCATCAGTCTTAAACTGCATGTGGATTAAAAAATAAATAACTCCAACTCTGTATAGAGCTGCAAAGGCTGCAATGCTGGTTGGTTTAGTTTTTAATAACATTTTCTCCCGTATGGAGGCGTTTTACATAGTATATAAACCGCACATAGATATGCAGACTCATAATGATTAATTATACAAACGCTTGTTCCGTGCAGAAATCGAACACGCGGCCCGGCAGCGCATCAACCAGACGCTTAGCCACTGCGCAGTACGATACCAGCCTATATACGTCCCACTGCTGGGCACAGGCCTTCTCTCATTTCTGAGAGGGTTTTAGGGCAAGGAAGTGTCCGCCGCGTTGCCCCAATGCCTGTTGGCGAACTTCACATGTCTTCGAATTATTTTTTTCTTATTACTCAGACATGCAGGTTTCCTCGCGATGTTTTCCTTCACCGCCAAGCACGTGGTAAATCAGCACTTAAAATTTAATACCCGGGTTACTCGCGTTCTGTTATATTTACAGCGAGAGTTAACTATCTGAACTACCACGGCTCTGAGCTACTGAGCAGTTACTAGGAAATAAAATAAATATTATACTATACCAAGTAATTAGGAACATAATAATGATTATATAATAAACTTTAAAACTAAACTTTTTGTATTAACAGGCTTACAGAGTAACGTTGACCCACATGTACAACGCCTATGGTTGAAGTAATGTTACCTATATACCGTGCGGCTGACGCACGGGTAAAGCGGCCTCTCTCTATGTATAAAAGATAACATGTGATATAGAGTTTTTGCGCAAAATCTCTTTCAGTAAATCTCTAATAAAAACCAGCTACCTTAGAAACTATAAATAAAAAGTTGTGCTACCATTATATAATGCTTTCAAATTGACCCATTTTTGCTTAGGTATTTTTTATCTATGCATATTATATTAAACTATATTTTTGGCTGACACAGCATTTATACACTGTGTGTTGATTAACCTATTAATATTGTTACATTATGAGTTATTGTAAGTATTGTAATTAGGATTCCCCACTATTTTTATTAAACATAGAACACTTTGATAAAGATGATATAATTGTGTGTGTTTTTTAATTCGATGTTGTGTATTGTACTGTACAAGTTACACATTGACCAATAGAGATTATTAAATAGTATTTTATGATTACCACGAACGAAATTCTATTCCACTAGCCACGTTATTCGGTGGGGTACAAGTGGGACGTCGAGAGTTGAAAGCGACGCGTGAAGCAGAGATGTAGTTAGAGGCAGCTGTCGGACATCCTGACGGGCGCGGGGCTAGTGAGGGGAGCGGGGCGGCGGCCGGTCGGCGCCGCAGACAACCGAACCAGGCAGGAAACGGAGAAGGCATCCCAGAGTACAATGGAGGCGGCGCGCAGCAGGGGGAGCCCTCGCAATCGATATGGCGTCGCTAAGGTCCGTTGGCCGTACGGTTTCGAGCGCTGCTGAGGCGGATGCCCCTCCCTCCGCGCACCGCACCTGCTGTGTATTTATAGAGCAACTCGGGGATGCAGGGACGTTGAAATTACCACGATCCTCTACCTGCGTATGCACATCTTGCTGCACAATTAGGGTTCGCGCAGGTTCGCATGAACGCTTTCGAGACGCGTGACGATTGTTTGTCACGTTTATTGTAAAAATAGTTGCATGTAATAACATGCCGAACACGGTTCTCTGTGCGTTCGTCTCGTGTTAAGACTTTGTTTTGCCTTGTTCTTCTTAGTAAGCTGAGGACGAGCGTTGAAGAATAAATAATTGCTCTACAAGTGGTCACAGCATCATAGTTTCGTGATGACATGACCTTTATTATATTTACGAGAGCGGTTTTATAAATTATTTTTAACTAACTTAAGCTTAAAGTAAGATAGCGTATATCTATATTAAACGTGCGATTTCATAAGAGAGAAACTCCAAAGTTATATATAACTTTAAAAAATAAGTTAAAAATAAGTTATATTTTTTTAAATATTAAAACATAACATGGAGGTTGAATACACGGGAGAGTAGAGAATACGAAAATAAATACATACTATAAAAATTTGAGATATTTTCTTAAAAATACGGTTAAAATTACTTTATTGCGCTCAAGTACATATAATACCAGTTTCAGGTTCTAATACAAAGGGATCTATTCTGTTTGGTTTGATGTAAAAGAAATACAACGTCGCAACATTACTTTTTTATATTTTCGTATAGATTTCACGAATCACTTCATCTGGTATTCGATTATTAACAATACTCTGACCGTTGAGCTACGAGATCAATATGAAGAAACTGCTTCGCAAATGTATAAGTATATTATAGTTAGAGTTAATATTACGGCAGCCCTTGATATATTCATTAGTCACAACATTATTTATTGGGTTCCGTCAACGCTTTTACCTTAAAATCAAAATTAGGGTCCTTTCACTCTCGCCTCTTTCAAGTCCGACTTCGAATCGGTTCGAACATCGTGGCGTATCAAGTCATCCGGATGGAGGACGCGATTACTTTTGCTTTCGTTCGTAAGTCGACCGCTTGCCGGTATTTTGTCTACCTTACTCTAATTTGTAAAGCATAATTTTGCGTAACACAAGCTGGTCCAGCGCGTTATGGTTGTGCGAAGGAGTTATAAAAAAGGCGTGATAAGTACAGATGATTATAAATTATTATGATTATAATTGTAAAATAGTGTGTGAAACTGTTCAAAATATGATTTAATAACTTTTTAGCATTTCACACTAAGAATGTTCATGTAATAAGTCGTGAAGTCGTCCAACCAAGGTAGTAATAACATGAAACATGAATTATTGAAACATATGCTCTTAACATTTTTCGATAACAAGCATTTTTTAATCTTGTCAGCGATCAACATCTCGACGTATGTAGTCAAATTAAAGTATAGCAAAGTTTACTTCTATGCGCTACAATTTGTGCGCTATGAACATCTATGTGTATAACATGATTGTTAACCACGTCAACATCATTGTTTGCATTGTTTCAAAGTCTTTGATAGCACGTAACTTTGTAATGTTGGTTGTGAAACAGTTTAGCGATAGACAAATCGTTTGTCTTCGTTACTATCGACCAGCACGTATATAGTATCGCATATCTGTAGTGTGGCGTCACTCAAGCTGTTCTTGTAGGAGGAAGCCAGCGCATGCATTCCAATCGTGACTAACAATCGACGAGTAGGTACATACGTATTTGCTCAGCGTGGTAGAGCTCACCTTGCTTCGGCCTCCGTACAATATAACCACTTCTTGCAGCAAAACCAGTTCGTATTATGTTAAAAGAAATCATGCTTTATTTACAGCGATTTTAAGCAATTTTAACAAAGACATGACATACCAGTTATAGTTGAAGTACCTACTTCTACCTGTGTAACCAAATTGCTACATTTTATTAGGTATATTAATGCGGAATAATATTGTTATGTGAGGTTTGAAAAGAACATAGCTGTATTTTCAGAACCTTCTT